CCAAAACACGTCTTATGCTGTTTGAACTACAGTTAGTGGTTAATTCCAAAATGGGCTTGGAGTTAATCGTCGACTAGAGCGGTGCAAATATTCGGACTATCGGTACCGAAATAACCAGCATGTGATGAAAGCTTAAGTAAAGTATTATAATGAATACCCCACCATCATCTTGATGTTCTATTGTTCATTACTTCCGGAAAAAAAATAATAGATATTAATACCGTAACGCATTTTATCAAAATATGGAGAAAGGTGTTTTAAAGTAAAAATGATAGTTGTTACGTGCCTTTAGTGAACTAGTGAATTTTCCTAACCTGCTTTTCAGAAATACATTCCAAAAAACTTCCTCGCAAGGTCAGCTAACACAAGGATGAATAAGTACAGCTGTAGAGATGATAGTGGGAAGTCAACGATGTTGACAGTTCACGGTACACTGTTATAGAAAGAGATAACTGTAGTAGTTAAAGGTGACCGTGAGTTCGTCTGTGTGTGTGTGTGTGTGTGTGTGCGTTCACGCGCGCGCGTGTTTGCGACTAAAACAGTTGAAACCCTTAGCACCTAAAAGTTAAACAAATACACCCTACGTTTATAAGCCGTCAAACGCGTCATACTGCTAAACACAAGCGTGTAACATGTTAAGAAGCTAAACATGTTAGGAGCTAAACGTGTGGAAAAAGTGAGACAAAACAGGCGCTTAGAAATGTGTTTAGGAGCTAAACACTGTTTTTACAGTGTAGAGTGATGAAAGTTGAAGTATAGTAGTTCAATGCTTCAGACGAGTAGCCAGCAATTCTAAAGGCGCTGTTTAATTTGTGAAGTTACCCTTGCAGCAGAAAACAACATTGGCTTGTACTGTATAGTAGCCCTAGTGACGAAGAATATACATGTATTTAGTTGTATTTCATTAATCAGCTTTACTGTTTTTTCATGAGGTTGTTGAACATTTTCAAAAGAAAATCATTATCTTTTCATGGGACACCCACCCAGTTTAGTATTATCTTATTTTTGTTCTTTTTATATATATGCAATAATTCGCTTATTTTAGCGCTGGTATTTGCGTTGCTGGGGTCAGACGTAAGCAGGCTTCCTGAAGGTAAGACCCCTCTCTCTCTCTCTCTCTCTCTCTCTCTCTCTCTCTCTCTCTTTATATATATATATATATATATATATCAGTCATTCTTTGCTAGTGGTGCACTGCAGCCAT